TTTCTTGGACAGCACATTGCAATTTTTTTATTTTGGAGGAAATATTATTTATTGATTTTGGAGAGATTTTGAGTAATAAAAATTTGTAAATTATGAGATCAAGCTTCAATTTCTGTTAAATATCAATTTGAATTATTGAAAATTTTAAATTGTGATTGTTCTATCTATTTCTTATTTAAAAATTCGAAAATTTTTAAATTTTCGGGCATTCAGAGATGAGAATGAATTAAAGCTCAGTCGACTCGAAGACGAAGTAAAGGAGAATCGAATTCCAACATGGGGAAGAGCATCCATCAACGGTCATAAAGTCGAACAATCGTCGAGTCTACGGGAGCGAGCTTAGTCCACACTTCTCACCCCATCGACTACATACCGGAAACCGCAGAAGTTTCCTCCATTTTGGCGAACGATGCTCGATTCTGTGCAACCTGGCCAGTCATAGCAGTAAACCTCGCAACGCAGAATTACAGGCACAATTTCAGACTCCTCGTTTTCCACGTAATCCCATACTTTCAAACTCCAATCCTTCTTCTTCCCTATAATAAATTCCGTGAACGCAAAAGAAACCTGAGAAAAAAATCCTGTTACGATTTCAGAAGCTAAGATCGAGGACCAAAAGTCAAGAGGAAAAAGAAGAAAGATATAAAAAATATTATAGAAATTTTTAACAATTTTTTTAAAATATATCACATATTTTATTCGTTCAATATTCATATTAATATCCATTCTACTTACTTAAAAATTATAATTTACAAAAAGAAGCAATTAATTATTTAATTTATATAAAGAATGAAAACAGAAGCAGAAAAATTCATATTTTTTTCCAAATATCACTAAACTAATTACATCAAATTCCAAACTAGATTGCAGATACAATTTCACCCTTCTCGTAATTCTTCACCTTTCGAACGCCAACTCTTCCCTCAACAATAGCAGGAAAAGTTGAGAACAAAAGACGCCTGGAAACAACTCCTGTAAAACGCACTGAAAACCGAAGCTAAAGTAAACAAATCGTGGAGAAAAAGAAAGAAAGAGAGAGAGAAAAAAAATCTAAAAATACCAAGCATTTCGCGCGAAAGAGTGCTGGAACGCGGCGGAAATTGCGAAAATCTTGAGCAGTTTCGAGTGGCCTGCTAAACAAACAGTAGTTGCCGGCGAGCAATCACGTAGGGAGCAGAAGAGGATCGTTCCGGGAGGCGGCCGTGCAACATTCGAAGAGGATGATCGTTTCGAAGTGGAAAGAGAGGGAAACGATAGTTGTGGAAGGTGAAAATTGCCGGTTTGCCGTGGCGGGACGCGTCCTCGGCAATGGTAGCCATGGCCTGTTTGCCTTCGAGCCCACTGCGCGGCGCGGCGTTCGGTTTTATCGGCGCAAATTGGCCGGAAAGTCGGCTTTCAGGCGCACGTGTGGTGTGCCACGTTTTCTCTTTTTCTTCTTCTTCTTCTTCTTCTTCTTCTTCTTCTTTCCTCTCTTTCTTTTTTTCCTCCTTACCTCCTTGGGGCCGCGCTCTCGCACCCTGTAGGGAGGATGATCGTTTGTTTGCACAGAGAGAACGGTACAGAGAACGTTTTCAGGTCGAGAAACGGAATCGCGAGATTTCTGGTTTATATTTGCCGGTCGTTGAGAAAAGTAGAAGAAGATGATGATGATGATGGATGGTTGGAAACGTGAGTTACGTTTATTTTTTGGGGGGAGGGGGTTATTGGAAAACGATATTTCCAACATTTATAAAGAAATTTTTTATTTTATTTTATCGAATAATTGAAAATAGTTCTTCAATCCTGAAGAAAACTTTCTCAAAAGACTCACGACAAGAAACCACTTAATCCTCCCCCGAAAAGAGACCTGTAAAATAAGAACTGTATAACATAGTTTCAATAAAGAGACCGAGGAGAAAAAGAAAGCGCCCCTCTAATCTCACTTTCAACACGCACGGCTCATTAGCCGTCGAATGTTAGGAAGGAAAGTTCGAAAAAAAAAAAAAAGCAAAGTCGATAAGAGACAAAGGGGGTGAAACTTTTACAACTTATGGTCCTTTTCCTTTTTTTTTTTTTTTTTTTTTTTTTTTACGAGAACTTTCGTTCCGAGGACGCGGCCGCAATAAAACGTCCGCCATACACACCCGGTATCCCGTTTTCATCCCCTTTCTCCAAGTGCAACGCCCACCGACGTTTCGACCAGCCGCGCCGATTACGTTTTCGTTACACTCCCCCGCTCTTTACGATTTTCCAGCTGGTTTGCATTTCACGCTTACATACATTCCCCCCCCCCCCCTTCCCCTGTTCGTCTCGTCCCTTTTTTTATCCGGACGAATCTCTCTACACAGGCGCCACCTCCTATTTTACAAAGGATTCCATTTTCTCAAATAATCCCGAAAACGCGATAGAAAGATCGTAAAGCGGCCAGGCAATCTCGCGTTTACGAGCTCGCACTCGTTTCCACTGTCAACGCGCGGCCATTGCTCCTTGAGATACGGAAACCGACTATGCGCTCTCCCCGGATCGAGATTATTTTTCTTCCTTCGTGTGGGGAAGGCTCGAAGGTGGTTAAGCGCGATTTTCGAGGGATATTGTCTCTCTCTTTTTTCTTTGTTTGATTATTTTGATTCGAAGCTGAAGAGTTTTATTTCGCGGAGGAAGTATGCGAGTGAATACGAAGTTTGAAGGAAAGAGGTTAGGTTGGATAAAGAGATATTATTCTTGGTTATTTTTAGCGTGGTAAAGTGGTTTATGGGCAAGTGATCGTACATGTTTCGTAAATAAAGTGTAAACGAAGTTTGAAGGAGAGAGGTTAGGATGGAACGAAAGATATATTATTCTTGGGCTTACTTTGAGTAATTTGGACGATGAATTGTGTGTTGTGAAGTTTAGAGAGGAAAGAGAGGTTAGATTCAAATAGTAGTTTCGACGAGTTATTTTTTTGATTACTTTGAATTAATTTGTTTGAAACAAGTTGAACATGAGATAATGTAATGTAAATAAATGGTAGTGATGAGAAAATTTTTATCAGAAATAATATTTTTCTTGAGAGACTACAATTTGTAATATAGTTTTTATTTCGAGAAACTTGGTTTGAATTAAGAAATTGTAACTTTGGATAATTTAATTAGATTGTTATAGAAAATTTTAAATCTGTGATAAATTTGAACATCTTATTACAAAAAGAAATATTCACCAGCACAAAATACGAGAAGAAACAATGGAAAGAATAAAATTTCATCATGAAGCACGGTCAAACCTCTTTATTTTCCGCATGATTGACGAAGCTTGAGTGTGCCTGGCAACCCGGACACGTTGTTCGGTCATTATGGGCCCATTAGTCGTCTCAAGTGACGAGCTATGAATTCTTCTCGGATTTCACACGGTACACTGAAGAACCGACTTGGAAAAATACATCCTTACCCCTTTTTTCTAAACAACCTTTCGAAATCAATCTCAAATCTCATTTAATCTCGCTTCCGTATCAAAACTTTCCACACGAGTCAATTCTATCAAATAAATATTTAATAAAAAAAAAAAAAAAAAAAAAAAATTAGAGAATTCCATTTCCAATGATATTCTCTTCTAATATATTTATATTCATATCTATAATGATAAAAAGTTTTGCTCACAAGGAAGTATCGAAAAAGAAAAAAATTATTTATCGATAAAGCTAAAGGAAGAAGAAAAAAAAATTCGTTTTTCCAAAATATTTATATTCATCTCTCAACATTATATTCCAACTATTTGAACTCGAATGCATTTGTCATTTTATAAGAATGCATATGAAAGAAGAGATTGCTCATTTTCATCGAAGATAAACAAATTCATTTTTATTCAACTTTTATTCACGTTCATTACAAGAGATTCTATCTAAAAAGGAGCACGAAATCAAAAGAAGAAATGATTTATTGAAAATCATTTGAGAGAGAAGAATAATAAGCAAGGACTCATTTTTGGAGAATTTTTTTTTTGATATCTTCGAAACTGATCGTGACAAATTCCAGAGTAAATTGTGATAAATCGTAAAGAGGGACCGAGGATTCTGAATTCTGCAACGTAACGAGATCGTTTTCTCACTTTTTCAACGTTTCTTTTCTTAGTCAACCACCCACGGTGACGCACGGGACATGGGTGAAACAAGAAGAAAAGCCAGCGGCGGATTTATGCGTTTTCAAAGAAAAGTGAAAGGAGATACGAGGTATGTGGCCGTCCACATGTCGAGGACCCCTGTCGTCGCTAATTTCGGCAATTAACTAAACGTCTGTCCACCTCGAACTTCCTGCCCGTTTAATTGTTATTAATTACACGATTCTTTTGAGAAATTTTGGAAGAAACGTAGGAGTGAAAAAATATTTTTTTGAAAGTGATTATTAGACTGTGTATATTTATGCACATTAAAATATTCATAGAATGACTGTATTATTGTTGAATATGATTTTTTTTTTTGCTAGAAGAACAAAAAAAAAAGAAAGAAATAACATAAAATCTTTGATTTTCCAATAAAAAATATTGACAACTATAAAGATAAAACTGAATGAATTCTTGAATGAGATGTTCAAATTTTAGACACAAAGAAGAATTTCTCTTTCCATTGGACGTTATCTAATCAATTTTCATAATACTTACAAACTTTGTTTATTCAGAAAATATTTTTTTTACAATTTTTTTTTTATTTCCTTCGCATTATTATACCATATCATATACATTACATTATTATTATCATATTTTCAAATAATTTTAAATAATATAATATAATAAATATAATTTAAGTGGTTAAGTTTAAATTTAACAGCAACTCGAATGAATCAATCTACTGTACGTATAATAATAAATACAAATAAAAGCGAATTCGTTATTTTGAATAATAATTGGCAAATAAATTTTTCATCCTTCTCTTTCTTTCTTCCTCTTCGCCATTAGGATTAACCATTAGAATTAATATGAAAAATGTGTTTCTCACAATGTTAAAACTAAACTTCTTTATCGTTTTTACTGATTTTGCCGAGTGACTCTCACTTCGCCCACTTTCTCTAGTATTTTAGTGTGTCGTCTCTCCATGCCCCTGAAACCGGAAACCATACTGCTTCGCAGCAGATCTGGTCGTCTGGTTGGACGTTTCGCGTGCATATGGAGTCCTACCGGTTCCAAAGGTTTCTTCCTCGTCAATGGCGTCTCCCAAAAAACTTGATCGATCCCGAACAACTCTCCATCCTTAAGCAATATATATAATTAATTATTTACGAGGAAACAAAAATAATCATTCGAATCAACAACGTAAACTTCCATACGAGGAAATTTTAGGTTAGGTTCGAAAATTTTAGAAATCAAATTTCTAAGATATATTTATCGAATGAGTATCACAATATCTAATATAATCAAATTTAAATTATCGTAACTCGTTATATTATATCTTTATCACCAACGAGGAAATTTTAGGTTAGGTTCGAAAATTTTAAAAATCA